AGCTTGAGACCTAATCGTGGAGAGAATAAAGCTTTCGGGCATCTGCACTAAAATGTGCACACTACTCTCAAATGCTTATCTTTGACTAAACTCAATGTGACCGCCGCAACCTATTTAAACAAGAAGTTCATCCTTGGTCGTGACTGCATGCTGTAGCGTCTGAGGAAGTCACTTAAATATATTCTATCGCGAACTTGCTGAGCAGGATTACTAGCTAGGCTATCACGCATATACAGACGGTCAGCGTATGAAGGGTCAGCTGTACTGGCGATAAACGTATCTGTAAATATGTAACCACAACATAGAGTACAAGACAAAAATGAAGTGTTGCTGGTCTGGTTGGACGAGGAGGAAACGTCAACATTTCAGCTAAACAACTGGTGAGGAGTGCAGCGCTGTCGGGAACTGTGAATAGGGGCCATGCGGGACATCATTGAGGCCGGCTAGATCAGTTATGATTGCGGCCACAACAAGTAAAAATAAGTCAAGATAAAAAAGAGAGTGGTGCATTGAGAAGGAAGGTGTCATTTGCAAGAAAAAGGCACGCTGGCCATTTTTACCCGGATCCCGCCAATGTTTATTCAGTTTCCAGTCTATCCGAAACAATCATATCAGTACCGTTGGTCACTGCATCGCTACGGTTAGCTTAACTCGTTAACGCTTGATATACTATTGGTCGCTTACTGCCCTCGGACTTCCGCTCTTCTTATGCGCAAAAAAACTGCGTGCTGTCATTGGTTGACCGGAACTTGCTTGTACACGTTTGGCCTAAACTTTCTGCTGTTCTACGGTGTACGCACGCGCGTTCTCTGCTGGGACTATTTTTTACGCCCATATCCCTATTTGTTGTTGCTCGTATCACATTTCGTCTCTTATTCTGTTCAAGCCAATAATTGTACAAACATCTCGAATTCATACTCAAGAAGCAGCTGAAAGAATTTGTTAAGGAAACTGTCAACGACGAATATGGTTCTTTTGGAACACAACACTTGAGGACCGAATTAGGCAAATAATGGTAGCCTGATAGTTTTTAAAAATAAAACAGATGAAATTTAACGAAAAGTGAACTTAATGATAAGATAGCTTACTCAAAAGAGTGGCTAACCTATCCAAGCCGACTAACAAGAAAACAAGTGCTAAAAGAAGCATTGCCGTGCTGAGGCAGCGCAAGGGCCTGTTTGTTGCCTAGACTTAGAAGAAAGTCTGTTTATCTATCCTCTATCGGAAACAGATAACGCGCTACTTCTCAGGAGGGTGGACTATTTTTTAAAACCCTAGCTTTCCTGATATGGCTGAATCAGTATTAACAGATGGTTTATAATGCAATATTTAGTCTAATTGGAGGCATTTCTTTCGTTGGGGAGGCTTCTGATATTCACAAAGATCTGAAAGGCTCTACTTCCTGCTCAGGGACTAAAACGTCGTTAAGGTATGAATGTAAGAATGTACCATCATTACCTAGGTGCATGAATTAAGTTTTTAAGGAACTGCACGGTAAAAGTGAATCAAACAAACTATTGATTATTTTTCTGCAGTCTGTGTCACGTGATGTTCGAAATACAGTGAAACCTCGGTTAACGAGTTTAATTCGTTCTGACACCGAGATCATCATTCTAAACACTCGTGTTGCGAAACGTAGCAAATCAAACTGCATTAGTTCACTGATTAGCCGCAGGCGATCGAGGATCCAGGCTTTGGGAACAAGACTCAACGGAGGGCGCAGGTACAAACACGCTCTGACAGCTCGCTAACTGAGCTGAAGCTCATCATTCGAAACAAATCTTTACCTGAAATGCTCGTAAATGGGGCTGCTCGTTGCCCGAAGTTCCACTGTATACAGAATTGCGGTCATAGCGGGTCTCTTGTCCAAATATTTACTCCTACTATCACTGACTACACCTTCGCATGGAGTGTCCTGGTGTTGATGATACTTGTTACATCAGACATGTCGCCGACGTAAACATACGTCAAAAATCGTTTTCATGCTTATTTATCTGTACTCTTATATCAATTTATTCCTGGTTTCTTTTTCTAAAACTTCGTAGATTTCAATGATGTCTGAATATTCCGCTGTCATCAAGGGATCACTGAAGCTGAAAGCCGACAGCAAAATCAAAAAGTAATATCACTTCATTTTAGCTGAATAACTTTGGTTTAGAAAAAGTAAACGACATAGGCGAAAGGCAAAGGTGGAAAAGGAGCCAGAAGTTATTGCCGAAACAGCTGATTCCACGGAACCCGCCAGCACCAACAAGGATAATGCGTTCAAACTGACGAAGACCAAATCTGAACTCGAATTTGACCGTCGCAAGGAGAAACGATTATTGGAAACGATCCTGACAAAGGCGGAGAAGTCCCACAAACAGCGCATAATAGATCTGAACAGGCGTCTTAACGAAATGAGCGAACACTTTGATATCCCCAAGGTCTCCTGGACCAAATAACTGCCAAAACTGTATAAGCCTGTTTTTACTTTCTTCTCCCCTTTACTGTTAAAGCTATCTGAGTTTACGATTCACCCATGTTTTCCATATAATATATACATATATTTAATGGATTCGACATAAGACAGGGAGGCCGGAATGGCCATTTTTGGCTTGTTAGCCGTCATCAGTCAGTCAGCGAATCTCAAGGGTTGGAGCCCCGAGATTAGAACTCGACAAAGTAACCAGCCCGTGGTGCAATGGTAGAGTTATAAACTCAATTACCAAACGTCCCGGGTTCGAATCTCGGGGTTTCCGACGCGTCCTCCAGTTCTGCCTTTGAAATCTTGTAGAAGACTACACTGGTTATGGGCTATGACTGACGGAAAAGTATCACAGACATACTACGGAGACTAGAATCATAGTTTATGGAACATTTACATCGAGAGCCAGACATATCGGAAGCGGGGAAAATCTGAGGTCCTAGCCTCTCATGGGCTCTCTGATTGAATTATATGTATTTGTTCGTGTAGGAGTAAGGTTTACAAAGCTGGCTTAGTTGCGCAA